GAATCATGACTTTTCGGCATTGCATAGCAAAAATCCAGATGGAACCCGCACCAACTGCAATAGACTGGTATTATAGTATAGAACTTGTGAGGTTTCCACCAGCACACATTTACAAGACTCAACATTTTGCCATTCCTGCATTAGATTTTTAGATATGGAGAATTCCATCTGGCATTAGGAATAAAAAGGAAACACTGATGATAAATACTAAATCCAAATCCACATGTTTCCTGTCTTGCTATTGGTTGTCAGCTGTCAATACTTCAGTATAAGCCACTATGAAAACTGACACGTGTAGTAACATCAGGTCTGTACTTTCAAAGGATAATTCTATCATCTACAGAGTGACATGATTTTGTCCTTAGGACTCCCCTTCAAAATTTTAAAAAGAACAGGCATTCCAGGATCAGTCAATGTTCTTATTGTGGTGGGGGCAAGTTTTCTTATTGCACGTAGATCCCACATGCGTAGAACTCTGGCCACCTTTGGAATGCTTGCTAGGGAAAAAAAGCCGGGGGAAAATACAAGGGAAAAAATGCTGAATACTCCCGGAAAGCCTGCAGAGGAGGCTAAAGAATCTCAGACCACAGCTTGTCAGCCTGTCAATCAACCCAGCAGTGGGAGGATGCTGCTGACAGGGGAGGAACAGTAATAGCTTCCAGAAGTTCCAGAAGAGGTATGATGGAGAGGAGACAGGAGGCATGATGTTTTCTTCATGCAGAAAAGCACTATGAAGCAAATATCGATCAACACACTTTGCATATCCATGTATATTTCACTGGTGATAAATTTTGAATTAAGATTATACTAGTAGTTATCTAAGATAACATTTTCATCAACATTTAAAGCTAATTTTACTAGTACAAGTATGTTACAATTATAGGGTACATACATGCATGCACATGTTGACCAAAGTACAAAAATACATGTCAAAATGTGTATTTAACCTAGTACCAGTATAAGCTGCAAGAAATTGTCCCTGTTGTATGATGAATGTTAAATTTATGATGCCAGCATATGTGTTTGTATATTTTTCAAGTCATCATAATTCTGTAGCTACATATATATGGCGTTTTGCCTGTGGCTATTGACAGGATCGTCCTGTCAATAGCAGAAAATATTGCACTGCTGACAGGATCGTCCTGTCAATAGCAGAAAATACTGCACTGCTGACAGGATCGTCCTGTCAATAGCAGAAAATATTGCACTGCTGACAGGATCGTCCTGTCAATAGTAGAATAATTTTGGTATTTTTATTTCATACTGGAAATTTTGGGGTGG